AAAAATATTATAATCACTTAATGTTATTAAAGGTAAAAAACAAAATTGAAATTTATTAAATAATTATTAATTAAAAAATGTGACCACAAATTAAAAAATTAAAATAGATGAATTTGTCAATAAAATTAAAAAATTTTAATCCGCTAGCGGTTTGGTACAAAAAGTTACATAAACTAACTTTTTCAATCCACTAGCGGTTTGAATCCTAACTACTATCTGCTACTCTTAAACCGCTAAATAAAAATTTTACCAAACACTATATTTGTAGTAGTTTCAAAATATATAAATTTAACAAACATCTATATTTAGCGATTTAGGTAAAACCACTAACCACTACCCCAAAACCATTATACCAAACGAGACCTTAAATAGTAAACCCACGTGAAACCGTGAAAGTAATTGGGTACGGTATAACGTGCAATTCCGCCCATATACTTACAATGTTTTAGTAAGTCTATAAATCAGCCCATTTACTTCATAAAATCTTTAAAAAAATTTCTTTGTTAAAAATGATATCATCAAATCATTAAACCGTTTCATTGCCCATTAAATTTAAGGTAACTTAGATTAAGTTAATTTAGTCAGTTCTATAAGGATAGGAGATTGAGAGATAGAGCTTGACTTCCCCAAACTAAGCCTGAGCAGAGCTCATTGCCTTGCCTACAGTATTGCATTTGCATGAAGATTACGATGAGGACACTTATACTTGATCATTTGTCCTCACCTAACCCTCCGTCTGCAAAAGACCCACTCCGTCAGAATACATCATGCTTATTTAATGCGGTTGCTCCGTTAAGGCACGCTACATCCGCCCTCCGTTTGTGAAAGACCCACTCCATCAGAATGCGCCATGCTCATTTAATGCAGTTGCTCCGTTAAAGCACATTACGTCCACAAAAAACGTTTGCCTCGTCAAACACATCATATCACGATGATGATGATGATCAAGAAAGCCACGTGGATGCCCAACCAAGATGTACAAATACGTCCACACATGGCTCAAAGAAGGTATGATGGAAAAAATTAGAAAAAGAACTCTTTGAAGGTCCTCATTAAGAGTGGTTTAAACTATTGCTGATTTAAGTATCGGAGTGTCTACTCCAGATCCAATCCTCAGGGCTTTGTAGGTCAATTCAACAAGAAACTTGTAACACAGGAGGCCCAGAAGGTTTGCTGCACTAACAAGTCCAATCACTATCCAATCAATGCCAACTCATTAGACTTTAATGAGTAATGGAATGGTTTAACGATTAAATAACATCAGCTTAAACAAAAAGCTGTTTTTGTGGATTTCGTGAAGTAAAGAGGCTGATTTACCATAATTTACAGTACTAGGGTCAACTTGCCACAACATTATAAGTATAGTGGCCGAATTGCACCTTCTGCCAAAAAGGTACTTACAATTCTTTACTGCACAGTGGTACTGATGGTACCAACTACAACCAGGGTTCGAATCGTGATACGTTTGATGCACAATAATATTTATTGATATGTATATATATTTTTAAAACAATATTAAAATTTGAGGAGGTTAATACCAACTATCGTTCCTCTACCATAAAAAATAGTGCAATCTAAACCTTCTATTATAGATTGACTCCGTATCGTTCCTCTACTATTTATTAATTCCACTTGTCATCCTTTTACAATGTAGAAACATCACAACGTCATCCCTCCATCCACTGTAACTAATTGTGCTATTTATTGACAATTAAATGCAACGATCACATCGATTATTATTATTTTTTTTTTTTGTCACCCTTCTGTGTGAGCCCTACCCTTGTCACATCATTTCTCACACAATTTTTTTGCCTTAGCCTTGTCATCCTGCTGCCTCCCCAACCCCAACGTGGATCTTGCAAAAGGGAACTATAGAATTTACAATTCATAATTTTTAAATAATAAAATATAAAAATCCCATAATTTGAGAAGACAATAAATAAATAAAGATAATAATTTTGTTATTAATCTATCTAAAAATACAAACTTTTTAGATTTTTAAATTAAATAGTAAATTTCTTTTTTTTTTAAATGATAATAATAAAATTTTACATTTTTTTGAAGATTTATTAGAGAATGATGATAATATAATAAATGATAATCTTAATCAAAATAGGATAATATTTATGTATTTAAATTAAAAAAATGAAAATTTATTATTATATACTTCAAGAATCAAGGAAATCCTAAGTAATTTAGTGAGATATTGAAATATATAGTTTCTAGCATGTTTAGCTTTTTTTTTTTTTAATTTAAAATTCAAAAAATTTAAAAAGTAAAAATTTACTATTTAATTTAAAAATTCAAAAAATTTTATATCTTTGGATGAAAAAAATGATAAAGTCATATTTTTATCTAAACTTTTTTTAATCAATTGAGAATTCATGAAAAACTAATGTGTTGAATATGCAAAGAATTTCATTTAAGATCAAACAAATTCAAAAAATTTTATATCTTTGGATGAAAAAAATGATAAAGTCATATTTTTATCTAAACTTTTTTTAATCAATTGAGAATTCATGAAAAATCAATGTATTGAAAATGCAAAAAATTTCATTCAAAATCGAACATAATACAAAAAGAGCAGGAATTGTGGCAAAGAAATTTTATTTTGTTTAGATTGCACTATTTTTGATAGTAGAGGAGCAATAGTTGGCATTAACCCAAATTTGAGGTATTAGAAATTTGAAAAAAAAAATCTTTAAATTTGATATCTCGTTTATTATGCACATAAAAATGTATAACCTCTCTAATATTATTTTTAAAATAATAATAATAATAATAATAAGGATTTATTTAACATATATCTTAAAAAAAATTGATTTTAAAGTAAAAGAACTAAAAATGTTTTTTTTTTTTTAGCTTATTTCTAATCTCTTTGCTTTGTAATTTCCCTCGTTTAACTCTCACGTGTACAAAAAAATAATAAAGAGACTAAAACAAGATTAACTAATAATTTTTATGAACTAAAAATAAGATTTCTTAAAGAAAAAGGCTAAAAATACTTTTTGTTAAAATAGAAAGAGCAAAAAAATAGTTTTAACCTTAAATTTAGATGGCAAGCTAATGTCATCTCACAAATAAGGCTCGATTGGTGAAATTTAAATTTGTGAAGTTCTTCGACTAAAATGCATCAACTTGCTGTAAAACCATTCACCTAAAATGAAAATTGTATATACAGTGCGTAATTGGGCTAATAACCCACTTAGATAAGCATATCATTATTATCACTTCATAGCCTTTTGAATAAAAGGCTAGTAGCCCAATTGGGATAATAGTCTAATTGAGTAACGTTTTATTTAAATTATATATATTAGGCCCTAATTATAAATTGAATCTTATTAATTATGATATTTATTATTAATTTTGTATAAACTTTTATATTAATTTATATAAAATTAATTATAAATATATTTATTATTGATGTTTAATGTGTGTGCCTTTTAAGATATATGTTAAACAAACTAAAAAAAAATGAATGGTTAGTATATGCGGGTCTTAAAAAACGGGTGGTCCTTACTTAGCTTCCATGGTGGCAACTGAAGATTGCCAAGAGGACGTGCACTTGTGGACAGTTTACGTACACATGACGGTTTCAGTTCACTTTGTACCTTTTTCTTCAATTTGAGTAGTTTAGGGGCTGAAAATCTTCATACTGTAAGGTGAAGGCTAAAAGTTTCAAGCTTATTTTTTTTGGTTTAGACCATTCAATATTCGAAAGTTTATTGAGTGATCGACTAATCTGGATTCGAGTTGGGTAAGACCTAACAGACGGCAAAATTCTCCCTCACAAGTTTTAACGGAGTTCCATTTTTAGAGTTTAAAACCAAAACTTCTGATTAAGTTGAAAGAGTCTCCTATCAACTAATTTAACCGCTAGTAGGTAGTTTCAAAGCTCATAACATAAGGGGTTCCCCAAGTATTTTGGCCCATGAAAGTAAGAAGTTGCAATGGTAAGTATAAGCCAACCATCCTCTAGAAGTTGCAATGGTAAGTCTAAGCCAACCATCCTGTGGCCACAATTCTTTAGAGTACAATGGTGGCACCAACTACAGCCAGGGTTCTAAACCTGATACGTTAGATCTAGTATTTATACTAGATTAGGGGAATTATTGGAATTGCTGTAAGATGTTATGATGTAATTATAGTGTACATGTGTTAAATTATATTGTATTATAATTGTAGTTAAAATTATTTTAATATTTAATTAATTATTTTTTAAAAATATTATAATGATATATGATAAATTTTATTAATTATTAATTTAAATTTAAAAAATATTATATAATATATAATTTCCCCTATTGTCTCTTTTGCATCCATCTTGTTTTTAAATTTTAGCCTTTGTCAATTATTTACATTTTTTATTTTTTAAA